CGGGCCGGGGATTCGAACCCGCCACCTTAGGTGTATGTGGCTGGCGCCTTAGCTGCTTGAGCCACAGGTGCCGAGCTGGGGAGTCTGTTCCTATGTCCATCTCTCCTCTATTCACTTGTAAATACTATCAGGTGTACCTTATGCAATCATTCATTCACTCATTCATTAGCCAAGCCATGGGGTTAGTTGACAAATTATGTATGCCAGGCACTGTTTTAGGTGCTTGTGGACATCCTTGAACTAAACAAAATTCCTTCTGTCACAGACCTCACACCATAGTGGGGTCAACCAATCAGTAGTTTGACAAATTCTATGGAAAATTGTAAAAAGTAGAGTGTTAAGAAAGGGTGGGCAGACTGAGCTTGTGTGTGGGTGGAGGGGTGGAGGAATAAGGGGAGATACTGTTCTCATGTGCTTGCATGACCAACTTATTTAATTTCTTAAAGTAAAAGAGAATTTTTAAATTTTAATGGTAGTAGCTTAGAGCTAAGAAATATAATTAGAATAGTAATAGTGAGAGAATTTTTACAATTCTTAATTTTAATAAGAGTAGCTTAGAGCTAAGAAATATAATTGGAATAGTAATAGTGAGAAAGCAACTCACTATTATTATTCCTCCACTTATGAGTCCTGAGAACTTTGCCCTCAGAATAACGGGGACCCAGAATTAGACCCTCAAAGGAACTTCAGTTCAGCTCCAAATCATCTCCATCTCTAAAATTGGTAGGGTGACTCCAGACTGTTGGCATCCCCAGTACTTGGCAAAAGCCATGCTAAATGTTCAGTGAAAGAAGATGATATCTTGCTAGGCTTTGAATTATTTCTAGAAATAAAATATATGGCACAACAAAAGGGCAAAATAAAAGACAACATATATGAAACTCTGCAGAAACTACAGGTGATAGAAATATATCCACAAGGAATCCAGATATAGGAGTTATCACTATAGACTTTAATAACTAAGTACATTTACTATGTTAAAGGAGATAGAAAACTAGATTGAG